GCCTTCTCGTACTTTATGCGCAGATTTTCCTCGTCATCGGGATCTCACCAACTTGATTGATGTATGCAGACGCCGCAACCAAGGGCGACATCCTGCAACTATTTCCTGTTTTGATCCACCATTAAGTTTGGGTCTTTGGAATGCTAGATCCATGAATAACAAAGTAGTATCTATCTGTGATCTCATCCTCGAAAAGAACCTTGATTTACTTGTCATTACTGAGTCCTGGTTAAAGGGTGATTCACAAGACAACCACACCATTGCGAACATTAACTACACATTACCCAACTATGTGATTGTCCACAAGGCACGTCGCACTGGATCTGGTGGGGGAATCTGTATCATCCATCGTTCTGCTCTTAATGTCTCTTTGAACAACGATTTTCCCACTTTTAACTCGTTTGAACATGTGGATCTGACTGTCCATGCTTCACAGCGTGCTGTAATTAGAATACATGCCGTCTATAGACCACCTCCTTCTTCCAAGAACACACTGACATATAGATTGTTTGTAAACGAGTTTTCGTCTTCTTGAACTAGTAACTGTAAATGATAATGCTCAATTACTTGTCGGCGATTTCAACATACATGTGGATGATAAACGCAACAAAGACGCCATGAACTTCGTAGAGATGCTGGACTCTGCTGGTCTCCAGCAACATGTTACTGTGGCAACTCATCAAGCGGGACACATTCTAGATTTGATTATTTCTCGGAAAATTGATAACCTGGTCAACACTGTGGACAAAGTGAGTGGGCTCCCTTCAGACCACCATGCACTCATCTGTCCACTTAATCTAGGACGCCCCCCTCCTGAAAAGAAACTCATCACTTGCAGAAAGCTTCGTAACATTAATTTGAACATACTGAGGGAGGATATTAAGGACGGTTCTCTGTGTTCATTATCTACCCGGTGCCCTTCGGAAGCGGTCGAAGAGTACAATACTACCCTGAGGCAACTCCTGGACAAACATGCGCCGGTACAGTCACATCTTGTTTCGTTGCGGCCCCATGCTCCATGGTACACATAATCTGTCAAAGAATCCAAGCGCCTGAGACGTCGCGCTGAACGTAAAATGATTAAATCGAACATTGAAATAAATCGCCAGCTGTACAAACAACAGTGTGAGGCTTACAATCTCATTCTTGATGGAGCCAGGACTGAGTACATGACGACTGAGATTAAAGAGTGTGACACCAAGCAGCTCTTCAAGCTGGTTAGTAAGCTCACCATTCCCAAAACTGACTCAGTTTTTCCTGATCGCAGTTCGGACGAGGAATTAGCGAATGATTTTGGAGAGTTCTTCCTTGATAAAATTCGAAAGATTGGGACAACATTTCCCCCTTCAAATCTCCCTGATGAAACCCTTTCATGTGATTGTGAGTTCCAGCAGTTTGAGCCTGTTACGCAAACACAGGTGAGAAAACTGATTAAGAACTCTGTTTCCAAGTCTTGTCGTTTGGATCCTATGCCAACTCATTTAGTGAAATCGTGCCTTGAAGAACTAGTACCATCCATTACACACATAATGAACTCTTCTCTGTCTTCTGGTACTGTCCCAGAACTTTTCAAAACATCTCACGTTATACCTCTATTGAAGAAGTCTGACTTAAACCCAGATGACTTTAAAAGCTACAGGCCCATAGCAAACCTGCCATTCCTTGCTAAGATCCTTGAGAAAATCGTTGCTTCTCAGCTTCGGGTGTACCTTGATAAACAAAAGTTGTTTCCTGAGATGCAGTCGGCTTATCGACAGTTCCATTCAACTGAAACAGCATTGATCAGAGTCTTCAATGACGTGCTTCTTGCAGTTGATAAGGGTCATGAGGCTGTGCTGGTGCTCCTTGATTACACTGCTGCGTTTGACTCTATTGACCATACAACTATGATTGATCGTTTCCTGCGAGGCTATGGCATCAAGGGGTGTGCTCTGAAGTGGCTTGATTCGTACCTGGATAATCGCAAACAGCACGTCGTTGTGAATGACTCTATTTCCAGACCATTTCCCCTGCCCTGGGGTGTTCCTCAAGGGTCTGTCCTAGGTCCACTGGAGTTCATCCTGTATACTGGTCCGTTGAGTGCGGTCATCTCTTCCCATCGGGACATTCATCATGTCATGTACGCCGACGACACCCAGTTGTATGTGACCATGACATCCAAAGATCACGTAGGCTCTATGCATAAACTGAGCGAGTGCGTCTCCGATGTCATGTCCTGGTCTTCTTCAAATAAACTCAAGTTAAATCAATCTGAGACTGAGGTACTACATATCAAGTTCAAGTTCAAGTTCAAGTTCAGTTTATTCAATTCCAATAAAATATACAAAACAGAATACAATCATGACAGAATAAGTCGATCAATAATACAAAATAAGGTAAAATTATAAAACTATAAAGTGATACATCAGATAACAACATAAGATTATTGGAATTGGGTGGCCATAAAAAACTATGTGGATTTGTCGAGACGACCACCCTTGATGAAGGTAAAATACGTTTCATTGAACATTCAATATAATATTAAAAAAAATAAAAGATAATAAAGTACATAAAGGAATAAACAATTATGAAAATATAACATAATTTATTTAAAAAATACATAACCGCACAAACCCACCACAGGACAATACAAGACAATAAAATCAACAATTTAAAATTTCACACACTTGTGATTAAGTACGATTTGAGTTTTCTTTTAAAGATATTCATTGAGTTAAGTGATTTTATTTCAAGTGGCAGATTATTCCAGATAACAGGAGCATGACGTCTAAAAGAGAATAGTGAGTAATTTTTATTAACAGTCCATAGATGATATTTATTTATTTATTTATTTATTTATTTTAAAAATATTTATACAGGATGACAATATCAACCAATTTATTTCTGCTTCTTGTATTATGGTCATGAACAGTTGTATTAGAAGTGAGCATTGATGATAATGATTTATGGAGCATATTCTGCTTATGTTTAAAAAGTAATATTGAACAGTAGTAAGAGTTGAGTTGAAACACAGTGAGAACATTAAATTTAACAAATAATTCTTTAGTATGGGCTTGTCTCCAAGAAAATGAACATATACGAAGAGCTCTTTTCTGTAATAAATACAATGGTTGTAATTTTGTTGGATATGTGTTCACCCACACTACATTACAATAAGATAAATAAGGCAAGACTAAGGTATTATACAAAGTAATAAGAATACGTTGAGGGAAGAAATTGCTAAGTTTGCGGATGACACCAACATTTCTGGATACTTTGTTTGTTACATCTGTTATATGGTTATTCCATGTAAGTTTTTCATCAATCAAGACGCCTAAGAATTTTGTGTGACTTACACGCTTTATAACTTGATTATTCATTTTTATATCCAATAATTCTATGTTATTTTTTTTAGTATTTTTAACATAAAAATATATATAATTTGATTTGTCCGTATTTAAGGATAATTTGTTATAATAAAACCATTCCGATACCTTCTGCAATTCAAAGTTGAGAATATTATTCAAAGATTGTAAAGAATCATGAGAAACTAAAATGTTGGTGTCATCCGCAAAGAGTACAAATCTCAACTTATTTGAACAGTTTGGAAGATCATTAACAAATATCAAGAATAAAAGTGGCCCAAGTATAGATCCCTGGGGCACACCGCATATAACATTTAAAGGCTCGGATAAAACATTATTGTAAGAAACATATTGCACACGGCTAGATAAGTAGTTTTTAAACCAGAGTAGAGGAAGACCCCTTATTCCATAAAATTGCAGTTTATGTAATAATATGGTATAGTCGATGCAATCAAACGCCTTACTTAAGTCTAAAAATATTCCAACAGTATGAAGTTTCTTATTCAATGCATTAATTATATAATCATGCAGGTTAATCAAAGCCATTTCGGTAGATACATTTTTTAAAAAGCCAAACTGATAATCATTTAAAAGATGATTACTAAAAAGAAGTTCTCGCAGTTTAGAAGTTCTTGCAGTCTGCCGTGCTTGGATGCTGCTGGCGTTGAAATCGTACCTTCAAAAGTAGTTCGTAACCTCGGCGTCACTGTTGATAATGTATTGAATATGAAGCAACACATCAGGAATACTTGTCGGACGGCTGCCTTTGGTATATCCAGGATTAGTAAACTTCGAAAATATTTGGACAGACAGTCTACAGAACGATTGATCCACGCTTTTGTGACTTCCCATTTAGATTATTGTAACGGATTGTACTTTGGCTTACCAGATTCCACCATTTCTCCACTCCAACGTATTCAGAACATGGCAGCCCGTCTCATTACCAAAACCAGAAAATATGAACACATAACTCCTATTCTCAGATCTCTTCATTGGCTACCTATTTTAATTCGCATTCAATTTAAGATTCTTTTGTTAGTATTCAAAATTAAGCATGGTTATGCTCCATCATATTTAAACGACCTTCTCAAACCTATTGTTCCATCACGTTCATTACGGTCAACTACACATGCTAATTTCCAATACGCCCCTGGTCCCCGAACAAATACCCGTTACGGAGATCGTACTTTTGCCATTGCAGCCCCTAAATTATGGAACAGTTTACCTATTATTATTCGTCAATCCCCATCTGTAGAGTCTTTTAAGGCAAGTTTGAAGTATTTTTTGTTTACCGGAAATAGTAATTTATAGAGCAGTTTAATTATCTGTAATGTTATTATTAGAATTATGTATTATTATTGCTGTATGTTTATTTTACGTTGTACCTAATTACTTGTATGTTAAGCGCTTAGAAACATTGTATTAAGCGCTTTATAAATGTAATTTATTATTATTATTATTATTAAGGACAACATAAGTCAGAGTTAATATATTTCCTGCAGGAAAAATCAGTTTTTACTCAATCACAGTGTTCAATGTGCAATTGCTACAATAGCACTTTAAGCACCAACAGGTAATTATCGATACATAGTCATGCAAGAATTGCCTCTAGGAAGAGTTCCAAATAGGTCATCAAACTGCTGCTCAGATGAATGTTAGTACCTTGACTAGAGCATTTTTAATAGCTTATAGGAATTAATTTGTAAATCTTATTTTACAAGTAGTGTTGGTTGTAAAAAGTGACCAGTCCACGATACCAAGATCTGTATCTCATTGTGGTTCCTCTTGCTTAAAGCTGGAAAAGGGAGCTTCTATCTGTAGGCTGGCTGATGTTTCATAAGAAGCATAACGTTGCAGGTAATTCAGGCTCTGCAGTCTAGAATAGGAATTGAAAGTTATGTAATAAATGAATCAATTACTAAATACTAGTACAAATTTTCAATCAATCTTCAACTTTTGTATTTATGATTATTTCAAAAACTTTAATTGCTAAATTAATAAAGTCGGAGAATAAAAAATAGTTACAGAAGATAAATGATTAATTGTTTGCTTTGGATAAAAATATAAAAAAATCCTTTCATTACCATTTGTGTATGTTTTATGTAACAGAATGGGTAAGATGGGTATTAGACTTCTTACAAGGGTAGTCATACTATCAAGCTTTGCTTATTTTGTCAACCCTCCTGTTTGATGTTCTCGATTAGTTACACCCAGCCTTACCTTATTCAACATATATTCTTTTGTCATGTGTAAATTTGCAATATTTGTCTGTTATATATTTGTAAAAATGCAAAAGAAAAAGAAAATCAAACAGAAATAAATAAATCAAATCAAATCAAATCAAATTATGAAAAATGATAGATCAATTTTGGTAATTGATACTGCTTACCTTTTCAATTTGAAGAGATGGACAATAAATGTTCATTTGTCATGAACTAGCAGTACATGCAGATGCCATAGCTCTTTATTTTGCAACCTAGGATTTAAAACAGAGATACATATATTTGTTATGAAGAGAGCACATCTATTTTTCAGAAAATTAATTGTCACTGTATTAAATGTGTTCAAAAGAACATAAGTACATTTTTATCAGTAATTGCAACAGTAATTTACATGTATTCGGTCCAAGACATTGTTACCAACCAAATTGTAAGTTTTAGACATTTGGAAGATTGACTATGGAGTTTAATCTTGATCTCGGATACCCTGCTCTTGAACCAAACACTGTTGTACACAGATTCAATGAACATTCCCCTGTCGTGAGTAGAAGGCAAAGAGGTATAAAACAGAGCAGCTTTCATCATACATATATTCTCATTAGAGTTTTTTCAATCACCTCTTTATTTATTAATTGCTGCCCTATTATTTGTACAATATTATTAATCAGGCTGGCAGATGAAGTAATTTATCTATGATTTAGACATGTCATAGTTGACTTCCCCCTCACATGGATTTATCAGTTTGCGATTGTACGTAGAAAATTTAATGAAAATCAAGATTTACACACTCAACAACAAATAAGTAATCTATTTATACATAGGTCTAGAAGAACCACACAAAAAAAAACTTACCTTTGTTTTATTATTGGTGTGCAAATGTTACTAGTAAGAAGATCACTCCACAAGGCCGCTTAGCACAGTAGGATCTATAGTTGTACACCTAGACATTGAGCTTGAGTACATTCTGTATATCCAAACCCTTTCCTTGAGCCTGAGGCCAAGGAAGAATGAGAAGTCCAAGACTGTAGAGACAAGCAGAAGAGAACTTTTGAGTCTTGGACTAAAGCCAAGGTCTCTTTGGTGGATACAACTTGTGGTCCACTCCATCTTTTAGTCCGACTCTGAAATTAAAAAAAAAAAAAAAAAATTCTAGTATAGTCTAGAGCTTGGAGTTGGACTGTGTTAGAGACCCTAATACCAGGGACGGATTGAGGGGGGCACAGGAGGCACGTGCCCCCCCCCGACCCCCCCCCCCAAAAAAAAATGTTAAAATCAGCAAAATTTTCCAAAAATGTACTGACCAACAGGGACGTGCCCCCCCCCCCCGGCCAAAAAAGAAAAGAAAAAAGTGTTAACTTCCCCCCCCCCCCCAACTGAGCGAATTTGCGGCCGGCGCGATTTTCAAATATTCGGGACCTAAAATAAAAATGCGCTCTTTACCCCCCCCCCCCCCCACCTCACTTACATCATGTCTACATCTACCCTAGATCTAGATCTATCAAGTATCATGTAGATCTAGACCTAGACTCTAGACTAAATCTACATCTAGAGTAAATTTAGACCTGGGTCTGACAGTAACACTCTAGGAACTCCAGATCTAGATTTAGAGTCTAATTTTCTTTCATAAAATTTTACCTTCAAAACAAATAATCCTAGACCCCCTATTGATTTTTAATAATTAGGCCCTAGGCCTAGCCCTAGGCCTAATAGATCTAGACCTAGAGTCTAGATCTATCATTTATAATTAGACCCTAGGCCTAGATCTACAGGCTAGACTAGTCTAGATCTAGAGTCTAGAAAATCTAGACCTAGACTAGACTAGTCTCTAGACTCTAGACCTAGACTAGACTAGTCTATATCAACAAAAACAAGACAATGCTAAAACAAATATTAAATAAGGGATAGGGTCTATATCTAGGCCTAGATCTTGATTCTAAGTCCAAATCTACAACTAGTAGCATAACTAGTAAAACGACAATACTACTGCAAGAATAAACTAGACTAATGAGTTTGTACCTGTCTGTCCTAACCGAATAATAAACGTCGTTAGGTAATTACTATTTAACCTGCATGAATTTATATGAATGGGACTGAAATGGTTGAGCCGGTGCAATTCGTCCACTTGGAGAGTGATGTAAATTGATTTTATTTAAGATTTCGTTCAGTTACACAAAAATGAAATTGCATAATAATGAGAGGAACACTTTTCTTCTTCCAAAATAACAGATTTGTTATCAACAGAATTGATATTTTCAAAGAAAAACAGATTTTACTTACTTTTCAAGGACTCTCACTGAAACAGCTCACATGTATCGGTTTTAAGCTAAAACCGATTCGGCCTTAAAATTGATTTTTAAAATCGAAATCGATTTTAGTTGATGAAACACCCCCCTAGAGTAAATTGGCAATTCTATGACATACCTTATTGCTTTGAAAATGTTACATTGGGGTTGCACAGACCGAACACTTTTTATGTCAAATGCGTTCATTAATAAGGTTAACAATTTTAAGAAAGAAAAATTCAGTACTGTTCATATTCTTAATCTTCAAATGAATTTTTTTTATTTCACTTCTTCGGATGACTGCAAAGCGCAACGTTGCAAAACTCATTTCTACAACCCTAATCACCAATGACAGTGCACCACCATATCCCTTTGCTCACCAGTTGAAACATACTACTGCCCTTGAGTCAAAAGGCTGTCCTCATCGTCCAACACACAGCAGTAACATCAGCCCAGAACTTCAGCACTCCGGTGATACCTGGTTCAGCGAAGACTAGGCCTTGGGGAATGTTTACGGCTCCTTCATCATAACATCATTGTGGCAGAATACCAGCATATACATGTAATGTATCGGGACCTTCACAGGGTAAGGAAAGATTGCCAAACTAAAATGTTTGAAAAAGCCTAACCCTACTGTACTGAGTTAGTTCAAGCTCCTTTGGATAGATGGCTAACCTCGGCCACTACACTGTTGATTCCCACAAAATTGGTATACCTTGAGTAAATTAGCAATTCTATGACATATCTTTTTGCTTTGAAAATGTTACATTGGGGTTGCATAGACAGAACAATTTTTATGTCAAATGCGTTCATTAATAAGATTAACACTTTTAAGAGAAAAAAAAATCAGTACTGTTCATATTCCTAATCTTCGAATGATTTTTGTTTATTTCACTTCTTCAGATAACTTCTTGAGATGACTGCAAGGCGCAACGTTGCAAAGCTCATTTCTACAACCTTAATCACCAATGACAGGGCATCACCATATCCCTTTGCTGACCAGTTAAAACAGACTACCGCCCTCGAGTCAAAAGGCTGTCCTCATCGTCCAACACACAGCCGTAACATCACCCCAGGACTTCAGCCCTCCGGTGATATCATCCTGTCTTTAGATAAGGGACGACTGCTCTACCCTCCTTATTTGTACAGCAGTTTGGCATTTCTTGTCTACTGGATCAGACGCCCCATCTGCAGTCCCACTGCAATCGTTTCAGTCAGGACTGACACTGGCGCAGTCAGCTTCTTAAAACGTGATGGCCGGTCACAGACCCTGCCATTCCTACGTCGCAAAGATTTAGCGTCATCCTGGTCAGCAATCCTGCCTTTGTCAACAATCGTGACGATAACTATGCCTAGCCTCTTGACCAAGACTTTTTGAATGCCACTCTGTATGGCTAAGCATACTTTTTTTTTCTTTATTCATACTAACATGTGTTCATGTCCATTTTTCCACCTCTGATTCTTACATTTATTTTCTGATACCACGTTGCTGTGCGATTTCAGTCTTATTTTTACTGGTATGACAATGTAAACATATACTTTTGTTCCACACAAGATATTTTTGGATTTTGTGTCCACTTCCATGTAAATACATGTATTTTTATACGATAATTTTTGTTTGTGATGGTTCAATTCCTTTTTTGCTCTCATCCCTTTCTTGTTGTATCTTATTTCAGGTGATAGCATGGAACAGCTTGTGGAAAGGCATATTTTGATTTGTTGCCTGTTGGGAAGAAAGTTTTCTTTTTTTGTTTCACCTAAATACTTATGTTTTCTGCAAAGAGGAATTTCATTTTTGGTTAATAATGTTTTCTTTTTTGCGAACATCTGATCTTGGTTTTTAACACATTCCTAGGTGTGCCATTTACACTGCTATTGTAATCATAGTTTTGTGACAGATCAAAACTCAATTGTTTAATCAAGGCTTCCAAATATATTCATTTTTTATGATTATAATGTCAGTTTATTTGCAGCATTTACCCTATATATAGTGGTAACGTACGATCAACTGTCAATTTCTACTACATTCATTATACATAGCATTGTGTTGCTTGTTGTAACAAAAAGGTATAGGGCTGTTAGGGATTATCCATAATATACATTGTTTTTAGTTTTGTTGTGAATATCTGAGCTTATATCTCACTTGCTATGCAGGGGGCCTATCATATAGACAGTAGGTATCTTTGTTTATGTACCTGTGTTATATATGTATTCCATTTCTGTTAGACATATATATACATGTTAGAATGCCCTTTTCAGAGATTTGTACAAGACCTTTTTTTTTAGTATGTGCTTTTATTTAGTATATCAAATTTTATTGGATATGCTGTTTTTTAAATTTATTTCTTTTAAAATGTGTTTGAACATGATAGGCGATTACCATTTGTAATATTGTATTGCTGTTGTTTTTTACATAGCCTAGGAAGTAGCGTGATGTTAAGTTTGGTGCAGAATGTCATTTACATGCATGAAGATAGGTCTATGCAATTTAGCTTTGACTTTGGTTTGATAAGCTTTGTTTAGTGCTTTGAACATGATGTTAACAATTAATAGACCTGTTTACTAATGTACTTCATTTCATGTTTTTCTCTAAAGTACAATGTAGGGGTGAAACAAGAAGATTAGGGAACACTGTAAAACAAGAGCCAGAGGCGGGAAAGGGAGAGGCCCCCCCCCCCCCCCCCCCCCACTCCGTGAACAGAGGGATACCATGCGTGTTGCCAAAATGTCCGGTAAAGAGGTACTTGTCACGCACCAAAGTCCGGCTTGTATTGACTTTACACACCGGACTTAGGGGGGTGTTTTCAAAAGGAGGGAACATGCATTATGCATACCCTACATAACACTGAGTGAGGGGAGGGAGGGGGAGAGAGGGTGAGAGAGTATGAAAAAGAGAAGGGCAGAGATAGATAGAGACATCGCAAGAGAGGAAGAGGGAGGCAAGGAAGAAGTGACACAGAGAGGGGGAGGGTAAAGAGTAAAGAGAGAGAGGGATGCAGAGACAAAGCAAGAGAGAAGGGCAAAACAAGAAAGGAGAAGGGGGACATGGCAATAGAGAGGAGAAAGAGATACAATTCGTCGCTGTTTTCACGAAGTGACGGTAGTGAAAAAAAATTGCATTCACTTTGCGTTACGATTTTCCTCACTACCGTCACTTCGTGAAAACAAGGACGAATTGATAACGAGGCACTCAATACTTCTAGCATAAATAGATTTGAATATTTACTATACAGTACGTCCCACAAAAAACGAAAGCGAGAACTATCGATGTTTTATCATAACTTGGTCACATTTAATAAACGACACATATTTGGAAAGCTTAGACCCTCTTCTTTCATTTGATGCAACTCATGTGATAAATATTTCACGCATGAGTGATTAAAATTAATTTGAAAACAGAAAACCAAAAAGTCATTTGGCGGACGGTATCTGAATTTCAACGGCAAAAAGAAATTCACATTTCTAAAAAGTTGAGTTTCGGCCCTTTCATATGACACCTCAATCAGGACAAATGAGCAAGGAACGACAAAGTTTTGTTTGTTTAAAGTAGTGCTTGCAATTCCATAATTTTATCAAACGTATTCGTTTTCACTGGCTGCCTGCAGTAGCAACATGCAAAATTGACAAAAGACTTCACTCCATTCCGTTGACAATCGGCCGTAGACGAAAGACTTCATGCATGGCTCATTGTTAACGAAACGGAGTCTCGAGTACCGATAAGTATGTATCAAGTAATAAAGTTACATTTGAGCTTAACTAGATGTCAAGCATGATTATTACAACTATAACAAACGATAACAAGTACAACGGTATTAAAATTTATTTAAAAAAACACACATACACCGTGCCACAGAACGAACAAACAAAGGAGAAAGGAAAAGCACGGGTAGAAAAGAGAAAAGTGGCTAGAAATTGTATATTGAAAAGAAGAAACAAAAATTAAAATCTTTTCAAGGCTTCCCGTTTCATTAAATGAATTGAGAGGGTATACTGTTCCAATGAAAGTTTTTATTCTTCATTTCCTTTTCCCAGTAATATATCTTCTATTTCTTTTGCTTTTAAGGGTTTGTTTCCATCTCTTTACTGTGGAAATCACAAATTTGATAAATCCAAATATGGTTCCAGAATTGCTCTGTTTTTATGGAACATGTACTGTCATCTATTCCTATATGAATTTCTTTCCATGCAGGATAATATCTTCAGAATTGGTAAATTAAGTCTATCGGCACATTTCCCCCAGATTTCTTTTATGTTATTACATTCAAATACTACATGTTGATAAGTTTCTTCAATTTTTTTTTGCAAAAAGAGCACAACCCATTTTAATGAAACCTGAATCTATGTAAACGATGATTTGTATATAAAATATCATGCATGGCAACACAAAAAAGAAAAAAAAGGAAGCGACCACGACTTGAACAAAGCGTGAGTGTCAATGACTACGAAGACAGCGAAATCACAGGAGAAGCTACAAACCAACTCGCGAGACATGACATCGCCAAGAAGCCCCAGTGAGAGTAAACCATCTCCGAGCGTGAACGTCGTTATCCTTTGAGAGTACGAAGACGCCCGGTTATGTTGGGTTTGTAAATACATGTAGTAAACTGTACAAGTTAAAAAAGGCAAAATAAAATAATCTCCTTTGTACAGTTGGAGTGTTGGGTAGTCAACCCCTTCACTCATATTAGTTAAATAGTATAGGCATGTAGCTAGTATCTTCAACTATTATTTAGTGTTGAAGAAGGAAAACTGTGCTATCCAAGAGGCAGAATAATCCTCTAGTACAGTTGGAGATACAGACAGTCTATCCTGTTACTCATTTACTTATTAAGTATTGTAGAAAAAGTGAAAAAATCTTACTTGTAAAGTTGTAATATTTGACAGAGGATCGTGTTGAAAGCGAACAATCAAGATCTAAAACAGGAAGCAAATACTGGAAGAACTCCACTGAAATGAACACTCGAACAAAGGAACACAAATGCGAACTGGACTATATTCAACTTTATGTCGGAAGTAAATCTCATCTAATCTCAAACCTGGCTGGATTTGAATAGTGGGTCACATTGTATCAGATTTGATAGTTGTTACAAAAACAAAAAAAGATATATGTATTCTTTGTATTTGATGAAAAGGGGGATGTAATGATATATATATATATCTCGTTAGTCTAACGTTAATAGCACCACCTTGTGGTGAGATATGTCATATAGACAACAACAATGCATGGATGCTACCGTGCGAGTCTCACGTACCGATAAGTATGTATCAAGTAATAAAGTTACATTTGAGCTGAACTAGATGTCGATTATTACAATAATGTTGATAATATTGATGATTATCATGAGCGTGATCGTGACATTTGATTGAAAAAAGAGGGGACAATTAGAAAGCATATAGTCTGAGATACAACGTACTCAAACAAAAACAGAAACCAAGCAGAAATAACGGCGATATTTCTCGCAAAAGACAGGAATGTAGAATCCACATTTAAGAAAAAGTCATCTCCGATGGGGATTACACGCAAAGTGGATCAAGTGATAATAGGGTAATGATAACGTATATCTTATGATAGATTTGAATATTTACTAGAGAAAGGGAGAAGTTATATAACCATGTAAACAATGATAATGATGATGAACATAGAATGGTGATCATAATAGTATATGGTGATGATGATATATGTTGATAATGATGATAATGATAATGTTAATTATGATGATGATAATGATTATGACGATGATGATGATGATGATCACGATCATTATCGTGATCCTAAAAATGAGGGGACATTCAGAAAGCATATAGTCTCAGGTACACCATATTCAACAATCAACAAAAATCAAGCTGAAATAACGGCGATATTGCTCGCAAAAGACATGAATGTAGAATCCAGATTTGAGAAAAAGTCATCTCCCATAAGGATTACACGCAAAAAGTAATGGATCAAGTGATAATAGGGTAATAATAAAATAAATATAGTTGTTTATTACATTATTTGCAATTCTACGTGTTTTAATATTCAAAGGAGATGGTACAGTGAAAGGTCAAAAAGAAAAAAAAGTGAAGAAAAAAAATTGTTGGAGACTCCCGGACTCGAACCAGGGACCTCGAGGTCGGAAGTCAAGTGCGTTACCGATATACCAAAACATTTCCCATAGAGATTACACGTAAACGGAAAATAGAATTCACAAATCCCACTTTGTAAGTGAAATATGAGCATGATCCCGGCATCTGATCAAAAAATAAAGGGCACATTTGTGATAGCTTATTCTCTCAGCTACAACATACCCAAAGCTCAGCGTAAACAAAGATAAAACGACGGAGATATTGCTCGCGAAAGACGAGAATGTAGAATCCAGTTTTGAGAAAAAGTCATGTCCCATAGAGAATACACGCAAAATGTGAAAAATTGACATGCCTCCTTTAATTGCAAAAATACGCCATGATGCCATTGTCAAAATGAAATATTGTGATAATTAAATTTGTAGAGAATATTCTCAGGTAGAACATATCAAAATTTGAAAGAAATTTGATCGATATTTACAGAGATACAATCAATTTTCCAAAAATCTGCTGACGTCATAATATGCAAATTAAAATTTTGTGTTCGAAGGCCATTATGATGACGTCATGAGTTAATTGAGGGTCAAATGAGACGTGAAATCATATCTCCAATTCATACTCTAGCAAAATATGGAAAACAAATTTGGTTCACCTTGCATCCTAAAGCGCTACAATGGATTTTGTATAGGCATGTTTTTGCCCATGTATGCTCTGTATTACAAGAGCTCGCACGCACGGAAATTATCTTAAACGGACGCTCATTCCGTTATTAATGGTCAGAAAAAGGTGAACAAGGTATCAAAATGCTTGAAAAAATGTGCCAAATATGATGAGAGAGAAAAATTGGGGATTCTATGTTGGAAAATACCAGTACGCGCGAAAAGGCGCGCGCATGCGCGTTTGCGCGTTTTTTTGCAAAATGCTTTAAATGGCCTGTAACGTATGCAAAATTAATTCGATATGATTTTGAGCATTTTGAAATTTTGCGCGCGAGCTGACGCGCGGACGTACGCATGCGCGCGCGTTTTTTGATCTGAAATTGACCGGACGGATATTGACCTTAATCGTGATAAATATGAATGAGAAATGCTTTTCCATAATGAAGTTATGATCATGAGTAAAAAGTACCAAAAAAAAACACAAAATGGCGCCTGGATGACGTCATAAAGATTTGATGACCTTGAAAATGTTACTGTCACGTCTCATGACAATGACCTATGACTGTGCTAAAATTGAAGGAAATTGATTGAACCGATCTTGAGTTATCCTGTGAACAAAAAAGTGTGAAGAAATAAATAAAAATAAATAAAGAAAATTCTGACGAAAACAATAGGTGATCTGTCATTGACAGACCACCTAATAAATAAATAAATAAATAAAGAAAGAAAGAAAATTCTGACGAAAACAATAGGTGATCTGTCATTGACAGACCACCTAATAAATAAAGAAAGAAAGAAAGAAAATTCTGACGAAAAGAATAGGTGATCTGTCATTGACAGACCACCTAATAATAATAATTAATAAAGAAAGAAAATTCTGACGAAAACAATAGGTGATCTGTCATTGACAGACCACCTAACTAGAAATTTAATTCGTCATGGGGACGATTTAGGTGGTCTGTCTTCACTTCTTATGATAGATTTGAGAATGGGAGAAACTATATAGACATATAAACAATGATGATCATGATGATGATGGTCATGATGATATTGCTCGCGAAGGACGGGAATGTAGAATCCAGTTTTGAGAAAAAGTCATGTCCCACAGAGAATTAACGCAAAATGTGAAAAATTGACGTGCCTCCTTTAATCGCAAAAATACGCCATGATGCCTTTGTCAAAGTGAAAAATCGTGATGACTCTACTCGAAGAGAATTGTCTTAGCTAGAACATATCCGAATTCGGAGGAAAATCGATCAATATTTACAGAGATACAATCAATGTTCTAAATATATGCTGACGTCATAATATGAAAATTGAAATTTTGAGTTCAGAGGCCATTATGATGACGTCATGATTTCATTGAGGGTCAAATGAGACATAAAATCATATCTACAATCTACAATTCATACTCTATCCAATTATGAAAATAAAATTAGGGTTCAATGGGCATCTTAAACAGTACAATGGATTTTTTATAGGCATGTTTTTGCCCATATATGCTATGTATTACAAGAGCTCACACGCAAGTACATGTATCTTAAACGGACGCTCATTACGTTATTAATGTTCACAAAAAGGTGAACAAGGTATCAAAATGCTAGGCAAAATGTGCCAAATATGATGACGGAGAAAATTTGGCGATTCTATGTTGCAAAATGCCAGGACGCGCGAAAACGCACGCGCATGCGCGTGTGCGCTTTTTTGAGCAAAATGCTTAAAATAGCCTGAATCGTACTCTTGTTTGATAGTTAAGTGATTTTAAGCATTTTAAATTTTTGACGCGCTCGTACACGCGCGTAATGACCTTGATGTGACCTTTGATGATATGACCTGTTGACCCTTGACCTGAAGTAAATGTGATATGAATATGAATAACCTTTGACTACGCGTCATGAAGATATGATCCTGAGTAAAAAGTACCAAAAAAAAAAAACACAAAATGGCGCCTGGATGACGTCATGAAGACTTGATGACCTTAAAAATGTTACTGTCACGTCTTATGGCAATGACCTATGACTGTGCCAAAATTGAACAAAATTTACTCAACCAATCTTAAATTTTATCCTGTGAAGAAAAAAGTGGGAACAATAAATAAAAATAAAGAATAAAGAAAATAATAAAGAAAATTCTGACGAAAACAATAGGTGATCTGTCTACGACAGACCACCTAAAAATTTGAACAAAAACAATAAGTAGTCTATCGAAGACAGACCACCTAACTAGATCTAGATTCTAGTCTAAGCAAGATATTTTTTTACAATTTCGGGGGTGAGCCGTCCTTGTGGGGAATATGGAGAAAAGCCTGCGCTTTCATGACACCTCACTTATTTAGTATCACCTTCAGGATCACAAGCAATATTAGTTTGAATCTCTGGTAATTAAAACATCGACCAATTTAGCATGAGTGCGCAATGACCAATGCATAGTGATGTGTGCAATCTCTACGGGAAGGATTTTAGCACTAGGCCTACTCGACCCCTACTAGAATCTAGACCCCTACTAGATCTATTTTGAAAAGAAATTATGGAGAATTTCACTTACTCTTTTTGGTGTTCTTGCTGTCAGCAATTCTTGCATTTGGTCACCATCAAGAAATTAACATCTTGGGAGAGTTTCTTTAGCCATTTTTGCCTTGTTTGGAATTCAGTACGATCGAGATTGCCGTATTAAAAATACCGACCAATTCTTCGCACACATACGGTATCCTCGATCGCTCAAACCACTTTTTAACATGCAAACCTATGGGTATTTCACCAAGACTGAACTATTTTCCCGGTAATTGTAATTTTACCGGGAATTTTATAGGAATAGTTAAAACCATGACTGCAATTTCGACCAAACAGATGGCTGGATTTCTTAAGTGAGGTTTATAATAACTAATGATAATGAAAATGATACTAATAATGATGAAAACAAGAACACCAACAACAATAATAATATTAGATATATACCTCTGCATGCTCCTGTTGTAATATAGATGTCATCGAGAGCGATGTCACTTTTGTACGAAGCACCAGTAACGCCCTCAAATACGAACTAAAGGAAGAACAAAAAGTAATTCAAAGTTACTAGAATACTCATTATTATAATTAATAATAAATAATTTGGTCTTGTTGACTCAGCGTAGCCACATAAGTATTTATACTGCTATTCCTGCTGTCCCTATAAATGTTATCGCAACGACAATTGCCATGAAACCATTTACACAATACTAAAGGAGCCCAGAGGTGCATTTTATTTTGAGATTACAAAACATGTTTCTTTTCAATTCTATTTTTTTACTACGAAAAACTAAACACTAACGTTTCTAATATTAGGAACATAACAAACCATGGCAAAAATCATCCAATGACGATGGAAACGCCATTAATCTCAACAATAACAACATCAACAACTTTGATTGTCTAACCTTAAAATCGGCAGTAGGGATGAAATCAATCTGAGCCACAAACCAGTTCCTGGACAGATAGGCCCCACTTTGGGTCCATAGGACCTGGCCCAGCGTGGTCCCGGTCTTGGCATAGATATTGAGTGTACCAATGTCATCTCCCCACATGTGGTACCAAAAATCGGCGCACAATCGCCGGGACGTCGCAAGAATGAGTTCCGACTCCAGTACGGCAACTTTGTTGGAAAATGACGATGCTTCTGTGTAGATATAGAATCCAGCCGCTATTATCGAAAGGAGATCGAAAAATTAATACCAGTGGAGTCAAAACGATGCCAAAAGAAATCAATCTTACGAACAGTTATCGAAATCAAGCTTTTATTGAGGTAAAAGGGCGATTATTATTTATTGTATTATGTAGGAAATAAAGATGAATATACTTTTGTTAACCAATCGGAACCTCGTTAGCATCAATGTTGTCGTTCTTCCCTAGGACCCTTCAATTATTATTACCCCAGTAATTATTATCAGGTACCAATTAAACTTGGAATTTGAAGAAGAAACAAAAATGTAAATAGGAGTTGATAACTTTAATATCATTTCATTTCAATAAAAATTGAATTTTTAAAACTTTCAAACTGTTCCTATTCATGTATATTTTTTCAGAATCATTTCATCTCATTATGAGAATGCAGCAATAGAAAGACGTAACATAACATTATAACTTTTGTTTGGGGAAATGTTATTGCCAATTTAAGCGATTGCCTGCTGGAACTGGATGGTTCCTGTACGCGAAATACGGGGAATATACATTTCAGTAGTCAAATGGTTAAACAAAATACACGTACCTGTGCCAATTGTATGATCATTTTCCGGGCCGGTAGACGAAGATGGCGTGTTACCTGCCCGCCTCGTCCAATCAATATCATCGGTAGTAGCTTGGGTAAAGGTGCACAGGTCTAAGTCGAAGTCACAACTGGAGATTGGACCTGGTGAATAAGAGTATGATTTTCATTTAGTAAAGGTGGCAAAGCAATATTAGCTCCTCACTTGCAACATTTTTAGAATGAAAGGAAAATTCCGACAAATACATTTTCGAGATGACCTGGGTAATTTGACTTTGTGAAAAATTGATATAACACTAGTTTAAGTATAGAAGATAGTGAAATACTCATAAGATGCTGTGTTAAGAAATTCGTCAGCTAACCCTGGTTTTGCTTCCTATTGTGTATGTAGGACAGCACGATTGGCAACTTATATCCTCAAACATAAATAATTAAATTCGGAAAAAAAGTTGGCAGATGCAATACAATATGAAACAGGTGTACAAACATGATGTACGAAATTTAAAATACAATAAATACTAGACTCCCATGACGCGGCGGGCAGTCTAAGGGAAACCAAACCTAATTCGTCACTTTGACGAATTAGGTGATATGTATGATAATGGTTTACATAACGAATAATGAATTACACGATATATTATTTTATAAAATGCTTCTCCCATTTTGATCTATCTATATGTCAAGATTGAATTGTGTCTCCTTGATCATCATGGATCTAGGGAAGATAGATTAAAACTATATATGACCGTTGACTCTGTACAGTAACCAGTTACACCTTTGACTCTAATTTACATCATGAAGAACACATTTTTACGATGTTATCTTATTCAAAGAAATGAAATGTAATTGATAAATAATTATCATCATTATGATAAAGATGATCTTGATCATTAGCGTGATCCTGATATCTTATTGAAAAAATGAGGGATGATTCAGATAGCATATAGTCTCAGCTACAACATACTCAAAAATCAACTAAATCTAAGCAGAAATAACGGCGATATTGCTCAAAACACAGGAATGTAGAATCCAGATTTGATAAAAAGTCATCTCCCATAGGGATTAAACGCAAAAATAATAAAGTAAATAGGATTGTTTATTACATTGTTTGCGATTCTACGTGTTTTGAAAATCAAAGAAGATGGTACAGTGAAAGGTCAAAAAGAAAAGAAAAAGTAAAGACAAATATTGTTGGAGACACCCGGACGCGAATTTGCGATTCCCAAACCATTCAGCTATGGGAAACATTTTGAGCAACGTGATTGGTTAAAAAAGTTATAAAGACACGCCCACATCGACGCGAGCCATCTCATCATGGCGGTGCGAATGTGTCTGGGGCCAAGTCCGAGTGAACCATCACATCTTCAAAATGATTTTCCAAATCTGCATGTAGATCTAAGTAGATATTTAGACCCTGTATTTAATTATTTTATTATAAAGTCGCCATGATCAGATCCGTGTCTATGACTTTTGGAATGATGTTTGCATGAATGGGCTGCATATAAACAAGGGATAACAGTGGGCCTGTATGTGCCTGTAGCTAGCTCGCGTGTGAAGTGCATTGTACCTAACAACAAAGCGTATGTGCAGTTAAATACAAGTATGTTCTAATGAAATATAGATATCGATTGGATGATTTTTTTATTATTTTTTTTAAATCTAGACCCTAGATATATAGACCTATGATAAAAAATAAAAAAAATGAAACATTATTTATTGGGGGAGGGGGGGGGAGTCTAACTTACTAGTCTAGATGTCTATGTATAAATGAGAGCTTGAGTCTGAGTGAAAAAAGGGGTTGCAGAGAGGCCCAGCAGTTGTTCTAATAATCAGAGCTTGATGAAAGGATTAGGCATTACAAAATTTCCAGGTCAGAAATCCTCAAACAGATTAAAATGGTAAAACTAGAGCAAGTTTCCAAAATTAAATTAATTCATCTCGACCCATCTCACTGACCCATCCCTCTCTATGCGTTACTGATACACACCTTTAGTAGCAGAATTCTAAGGCATGTGAGTAGTTTGCAGGCACATACCTGTGCAAAATACAGAGTCTGAATCGTGAGACTACAGTAGGCCATTACATGTAGATAGACTTCCCTCAGACATATCTTTCGTAAAGTGTCAAATTAGAGTCTGTGCTTGCAGACTAACATTGTGAGTGTTTGCGTGTCTGTGTCAGCTGTGAGCGAGCCCAAGCGTGCAGTAAATGAAGTAATATTTATTTCTTCTCTCGACCAATCACGTTACTCATAAAGTCTCCCTAAGCTGAATGGTTTGGGAATCGCAAATTCGCCACCCGGACTCGAACCAGGGATCTCGAGCTTGGAAGTCAAGTGCGTTACCGAAATACCAAAACATTTCCCATGGCGATTACACGTAAACGGGAAATGGAATTCTCAAATCCTACTTTGCAAGTGAAATATGAGCATGATCCCGGCATCTGATTAAAAAATAAAGACACATTAGTGATAGCTGATTGTCTCAGCTACAACATACCCGTTAAACAACGGAGATATTGCTCACGAGAGACAGGAATGTAGAATCCAGTTTTGAGAAAAAGTCATGTCCCATAGAGAATACACGCAAAATGTGAACAATTTACATGCCTCCTTTAATCGAAAAAATACGCCATGATGCTTTTGTCTAATTGAACAATTGTGAAAACCGCGTTTGTAGAAAATTGTCTCAGCTAGAACATATTAAAATGTGGAAGAAAAACGATTTATATCTACAGAGATACAATCAATTTTCCAAAATTATGCTGACGTCAGCATATGCAAATTTAAATTTTGAGTTTGGAGGCCATTATGATGACGTCATGAGTTAATTAAGGGTCAAATGAGACAAGAAATCATATCTCAAACTCATAATCGATCTAAATATGAAAAAATATTAGGAGTTTCTATCTATTCTAAAGAGTTACAATGAATTTTATATAGGCATGTTTTTGCCCATGTATTGTGGATAAAGATAACGAAAATCCGCGCGTGCTGTCAACTTTGACGCACGCTCATTGCGTTAATAAAAGGTGAACAAATTATCAAAATGCTTTGAAAATGTGCCAAATATGAAAAAAGAAAAATTCGGCGATTCTACGTTGCAAAATGCTAGTACACGCAAAAAAATGCGCGCGCATGCGCGTATGCATGATTTGTTGTCAAATGCTCCAAATGGCCTGAAAAGTATGCAAAAAAGATTCGGTATGATTTGGAGCATTTTAAATTTTTGCGCGCACGTAAACGCGCGGACGAACGCGTACGCGCGCATTTGCGTACGTTTATTGACCCAAAATAGACCGGACGGATATTGATCTTTATCATTTATATGAATGAAAAATTACTATCCGTTATGAAGATATGATCAATTGATTTTCACAAATGGCGCCTGGATGACGTCACGATGACTTTGAATCTTTGAAAAGTCACGCAGTTCTAAGTTAGACTAAGATCTATCATCATGGTAAGTTTCATAATAATGGCTTTATTCAGTCTTGAGATATCCTGCGAACAAATTCGAGGAAGAATAATAATAAATAAACTAGACTTTAATTCGTCACTTTGACGAATTAGGTGATACGTATGCTCATGTGTAACATAATGAAGAACGCATTTTCACGATTTCATATTTCGTTTACTACTCCCATTATGGTCTATCCATGAGTCAAGTTTCAACTGTAGGGCAAGAGGGAGACAGACCAAGAGAATAAGAGGGACGCAAGGCAAGAGAGAGAGAGAGAGGGAGAGGGTGAAAGAGAAGAGAGATAGATAGATGCAGAGACAGACCAAAAAAGGAGAGGGGCACAACATGAGAGGAGAAGTAAAGAGCAACAGAGAGGAGAGATGCAATTGAGAACAATGCCTTCCAGATTTTTTTTTTTTTTAAAGCTTTTTTGCCTTTATTCAGATCTTCATAATTATACAAAATGATGAATAGGAACACAATTGTTCTTACAGTATAAACATACATGTAGTACATTGTCTCATACATTTTAAACACAGGCATATTCAAAAAATATTTTCCATGAGTATCCCAACTAATAAAGTAAACATTCAAAACAGGTGTACAGAATATGCTCCAATTCCTTTAAAAAGGAAAAGGTGACGGTAATACTTGGATACAACAATATACAAAGGAACAATTTTTACAACATAATAAGCAAATTAATTAATTCAATATAAATTAAGCAATCTGAACAAAGATTTTCTTATATAAACAAAAAGTATAAGGTGAAGGTGCTGCTTCATAAACCATGATAACAAAATTTGTTATATTTACATATAATGGTATGGTGCATTTTTTATTATAACTATATAAGGGTCTTGTATCAGTAGAGGTCTTTAACTATACCGTTATTTAAAAAAAATAAAAATATAAAATATAAACACCAAGGCAAACACGATAGCAGGTAAGTGTCCGGATCGATGAGAAAGTGAGGGAGTGAACAGGAAACAGGAATTACAATATAATACAATCATACTCTTTTCACACTGGTTTTGCTTAACCCCGTACTTTGCTTAGCCCCGTACTATCCTTAACCCCGGACTATTTTTTTGGCTTTTCACACTCGCTGTTTTTAGTCCCGTACTAGCGCCTATTCCGGAATAAGAAAATTCCCGCTTGTTCTCACTGCATTTCGTTAACCCCGGATATCGTGTATGTTATGATAGGACATACTTCGCATCTGGCCAGCTGCGATACGCTCCATTGCGTAGTACCGGACTATTTTTCGTTTCTGTTCTCATTCATTTGCTTAGCACCGCAATTGCGGGGTTAGCAGGAGTTAGCACCACAATTGCGGAGTTAGCCCTGCTATTTTGCAGGGTTAGTTAACCCCGTACTATAGGTGGGGTTAGCCAACTTTAGCCCACTTTGGTAAAAACCAGTCTGAACAGAAAGTGGAATAGGCTTAACCCCGTACTATAGGTGGGGCTAAGACCCCCCTTAACCCCACCTATAGTACGGGGTTAAGCAAAATATTGCCAGTGTGAAAACAGTATCAGTTCCCCTGCCTTAAGGGGTAAAATTTTCCCATTTTTGATAATGTATTGGCAGTTTGTCCTTTAATTTTGCTTTTTCATGTTCAACTTTTTTTTAGTTCTCTACAGCCTTACATATTTCT